CCATCCATCCATCCATCCATCCATCCATCCATCCATCCATCCATCCATCCACATAAGTATGTGTTAGATTTTCTTCCCTTTGCACCCCTGTGTGTGTTGTGATGGAGGAGAGGAAGGGAAGGACAGCAGAGGATTCTAAGGTAGTCAGTGAATTGCTGCAGGAAGATGGACACCCCTAGGGCAGCCAAGCCCCAGAAAACCTGCCTTAGTTACAGTGCAGCCAAGATCAGAGTGGTTCATCCTCAGGTTGGCTTCAGCCAATTTAGGTCATAGCAACTAGGTTTCAGAAGGGCTATGCTCTATGTCAGTGGGAGGAGAACCCATATCAATGATAATAATAAAAATAATAAAGTAATTTATTGTTTTAAGTTTTGAGGTATTATAGTCATTGATTTTGTCTAGTTGGTCTATTTCAGGTGAATTTGTCCCTCAATCCATCAATAAGCATTTATTAAGAACCTACTATGTGCTAGACACTGTGCATACAAAGAATGAAGCAATGTCTACTCTAAGGAGCTTATTTATGACTCAGTTCTCTGTATCCTATTGCCTAAGGGCCTGTAGATAAAGGTAAAAGGACCCATTTAAAAAAAAAAGCCTATGGGTGGTTCAGTGGATAGAGTTCTGGACCTCGACTGGAGTCAAGAAGACCTTAGGTCAAACATGGCCTCAGGTCAAACATGGCCTCAGACACTTAGCTGTATGACTCTAGCAAGTCCTTTAACCTCTCTTTCCCTCAGTTTTCTCATCTTTAAAATGGGAATAATAATAGCACCTACCTTCCAGGCTTCTTGTGGGGATCAGAGGAGATAATATTTACAGAATGCTTTGGAAACCTCAAAGTGCTCTATAAATACTAGCTATTCTTTTATCCCTTAGTGGTTCTCAATTTTTTTTTTTTTTTTTTGGTATCAGGACCCCTTTTCACACTGTTAAAAATTGTTGAAGATCTCCTCCCCAAGAGCTTCAGTTTATATGTTTGTTTATCAATAGTTTCTGTATTAGAAATGAAAATATCTTATCGTGTTATTATGAAAATATTTTTGACCTCATAGGTCCCTGAGGGTCTCCAGACCCCACCCTGAGAACCACTGTCTCAGAGGAAGGCAAAGCCCTGTTTTACAATGAGGTCACTGAATTTACAAGAGGACTGAGTAGAGAATGACATGACAAATGTGAAGACTGGCCGAGCCACAGATGCTGTGATTTGAATTTGTTATTTTTATTCACTGTTCTGACATGATAAATAGAGGATTCAGACTCAGTTGATTTAAGCGAGGAGGCAGAAAGACAGACCCAAACTTAGGTACCACAGAAGTTTTAATCCTGCCTTTTTTGTATCTTTTAATAGGTGTGCTAACGAAAGGAAATCATCTTTGAAATCCTCTGAAAGGACAGTGGCTCTGATCAATGTTTGGGCATATTTTTGTCAAGGAATTTTCGCAATTAAGTCAGGAAGTCACTGTTTGATGCTAGAGGGGGGAAAGAAACTGTGAACTCTGGAGATCAATGGATGTGACGGGGTGGGAGGAGGGCCATGTTTATCAGAGCTTGTAATTAGGTAAATTAAACATCGGTGGATCCCTGAAGCGGAGGAGAAATAAACCAGTGAATGAAGAATGAGAAACAGCCCTCCATGTTGGTACCCATGGAAGGAGCTAATGAATGACAGGTGCTGGACCTTGGCATAGCCAGATTTTTTGAGTTTTTAGAACACCGTGTGCATGTACATAGGGACCAAGACGAAACTGGGCAAGAACAGCAGAGTGAAATCCTGTGCCCAATCTGATGAGCTGGCTGAGGTAAAGTGTTGCAAAGGTCCGCCATTGGAGGGTGACTGCCCAACTGCTCTTCTTAGACTTGGCATCGGGCTCATTGTGTGTCCGATGGAAACCTCCTCTCCTCCCTTCCACCCCACCTCTTTCTAATTTTCCTTTTGTGGATTTTTAATGACAGAATACCTCATGGCTGTGACCAAAGATTTTTTTTTTGTATTGGTTTTATACTATCAAGCGGCATGCTAATTAGATTACATGGGCTTTAAAGAAAGTCAATCAAGTATGTGCCAGGTAGGTTCTCCACCACCCTCAAAAAAAGTTCCATTCTTTAGGAATCTATCTGTCATAAGCATTCAGTCAGTGGTTGCAGGGTGAATGAAGAAAAGAAAGAATGAGCCCCCACCATGATAACATTGGCACGTGGGATGGGAACAGTGATGTGAGTTGAATGTTATTTAATGTATTTTCATTTAGGGAAGATAGTCATTCATGGTGTAGTGGGTAGAGAGCTGGCCTTGGGGTCAAAAAGACCTCTGAACTCTGGAGATCAATAGATGTGAGGGGGTGGGAGGAGGGCCGTGTTTATCAGAGCTTGTATCAGGGTTCAAGTCCTGTCCTTGACTAGTACTGACTGTGTGACCCTAGGCAAATCGTCTATCCTCTAATGTTCCAGGCACCTCTCTAAGACTGAGTTGCAGGGAAGGTGCCCACCTGCATTGGCAGGAGGGAGTTTTCTCATTTAGGATTTCCCTATATCAGGGATCACAGGTCTCATCCCTATCCTCTATCCTTCTCAGTTAATCAAGATTCATATTCATTTAGCAAAGCATGGCAGGGCTATATAGCCAGAATTTTGCATTTCTTATTCTGCTTCTGATTATCGCCTGTGGCAGCATGGGAAGGGGTGCCAAGATACAGCTGAAGCTGCCTCCCTGCTGGGTTAATTGGTATTTAAAACATTCCTCCCATTAGGTAAAAGGTACTTAGGACCTCTGTTTCTAGGGGAACCAGGAAGCATTTATCAGTGATAATTTTATTGCCTACAGGATAAAATACAAAGTCCTCAGCCTGGCTTTTAAGCCACTCCAGAATCTGGTTCCAGCCTGCTTTTCTCATCTCATTGGACAGTGCTTTCCTTTTTTCCTGCACTCTTAAGTTCCAGCCAAATTGGGCCATTAGCTAGCTGTACATTGAACTCGACATTCCACCCTCCATCTCTCTGCATTCTCAGAAATTGTTCCCCATGCTGGATATTCACTCCCTCCCGCTCTCTACCTCTAAAGTTGCATCTTTCTTCTTTAAAAATTCATTTTATTTTCAGATCTGCATTCTTTTTCTTGCACTTCCCTTCACCCCAATGAGAAAACAAGAACAATAAATCCTGTTATAAACATGTGCAATTAAGCAAAACAAGTTCCTGCATTGTCTGTGTAAAAGAAAAACGCTTCATTCTTCCAAGTACATTTCGTCTCTTTCTCTATCTGGATGTGGATAATATGTTTAATCATGAGTCCTCTGGAATTGTGTATCGATCAGCATTCCTAAGTCTTTCGAAATTGTTTGTCTTTACAATATTACTGTCATTGTTTAAATTGTTTTCCTAATTCTACTCACTTTTCTTTTGCATCAGTTCAGACAGGTCATTTCTGGTGTCTCTGAAACCATCCCCTTCACGGCTATATCTTTCTTTAAGATTCCTCTCAGGTGCCACTTCCTCTGTGAAGCCTTTCCAGATTCCTCAGTTTCCATCGCTCTCTGTCCTCAAATTACCTTAGAATCATAGTAGCATAGATTTAATAGTTAGCACAGTGTCTGGCACATAGTAGGTGTTTAATAAATGATTATTTTTTTTTCCTCCCCTCTATCCCTCCATTCCTCTCCTTCCTTCTTTCCTCCCTCTCTCCCTTCTTTCCCTCCAGAATTCTACCAGAAATTCCCTAGAATTGAATGGAGACTTTCTTTCTCCTGTACTGCTTCTAACACAGTTGCCTAATCTTTAACAAGACCTTTAGCTTGACTGAACCTCAAACAACTCTTTCTTTCTTTCTTTCTTTTTTTTTTTTTTGGTGAGGCGATTGGGGTTAAGTGACTTGCCCAAGGTCACACAGCCAGTAAGTGTTAAGTGTCTGAGGCTGGATTTGAACTCAGGTCCTCCTGACTCCAAGTCCAGAGCTCTATTGACTGTGCCACCTAGCTGCTCCTAAACAACTCTTTCTAAGATCTACCTATTAAGTTACAGCTATGTAGATGAAGACTAATACGTATCTACTAAGTTTTAGCTTCTTTGTAGTAGAAGACTCTAGGTGGAAGCGGTTCCTACACCATCAGAGTCACAGATCCTTGACAGATTAGCTGAGTATAGAGAGAGGTCAGGAGGATTGATATTCCATTTGGCTCCATTCTTGAAGGGGTCATTTACACACTGTAGGAGAATTAAATGCATGGGGACTTACCTTGTTGAAGGCAAACTGCTTCCTCAGTTGGATATTTGGCACCTCAAATGTCATTTTCAAGCCAATTTGTCATTTTCAGGCCAAATGTCAAGTCTGACATTTTTCTGAAGACACATATGTCTGAAATTAGATTGGAAATCCAACAAAAAAGTGATTAAGTATAAAAATCGTTGCTCTTACATGAGACTTTTCAGGTGCATCTCTTTGAAAATGCGAAGTTAAACTGTAGCATGATCTACTTATCCACTTGGAGGCAACACAGTATAATAATAGTAATAATAATAGCTGTTATTTCTGAGTGTTTTAAGATTTGCAAAGTGCTTTGCATACATTATTCATCTAATCATAAATTTAGAGCCAGAAGGGACCTTAGTGATTATCTCGTTCATTTGAGCCTTATAATAACTTTGTGAGGTAGGTGCTATTATTATCTCTATTTTATAGGCAGGGAAACTGAGAGAAAGATTATGATAGTTGCCTTGGGTTAGCAAGTGTCCAACATAGATCTTGGGCAAACTCATTGGCCTCTGAGTCTTAAGCAACTCCAAGACTTGCTCATTAACTTATGACTATGTAGTCTAACAGCAATACTTATGTACTAATTTTTAGCTGCTTGGTGTTGGGCTAAGTTTCAGCTATTTTCCAAAGTTATAGCCAGGCTTCCCTGACTTCAAGTCCAGAGAAATATCTGTTATGCCAAGCTGCCTCTATGGTGAAATAATTACTGGATATGAAGTTGGTAGACCTGTGTTGACCCCCTTTCTCTTGCCTCTTGCTGGCTATGTTTTTATGGGCAAGTCCATTAGCTTTTCTGAGTGTCAGTTTATTCATCTGCAATCTAGAAATGATAGTATACATAAATTCTACAACATCTCTATTGCTAAGATGGCTAGAACAGTTCAGGGCCCCCAACTGGTGATGTAAAAGTTGATACTATTGGTCCCTGCTTGATAAATGCCAGTTTCCTTATTGTCCATGAACACGACGTGCTTATTCCTACAGGTGTAGGACTTCACATGTTCTTTTCTCAGGAATGATTGCCTTCCCTACCCCCTTGGCCTTTTCAAATTCTTTTCATCTCTCATCTCATGGCTCGGCTCAAATTCAGTCTTCTCCATCAAACTGTCTCTGTATACTCCAACTAAAATTGGGCTTTCCCTTCATGGAAGATCTGCATTTATATCAGATGTTTTATCCTTTACTATAGTTTTATGTATGCATGTCTTGTCTTCCCAGGTAGAGTGTAAGCTTAGGGGTTGGGACCATGCCTTATAGTTCTTTATGTTCTCCAGAGTCTCTCCGGCATCATTCTGGGCAGAGCCATAAGGAGATAGTCTGGCACTGGAACAAGCAATAAGACAAATTCAGTTGTGAGTGGGGGAAACCTAGGGAAAGACCTAGGACCTCAGATACAAGAGCATGTGGAAGTGGGGAGAGGCACCATAATATCTTCTTCCCAATAAAGTACTGAGGTGGGAAGACAGTGTTTTCAGGATACTTGATCTCTCTGTAAAGACTCAGGGACATCAGATCGCTGTTGCTGGAAACCAGCTTACTTGGACATATGGCCACCAGGCACTAGGGAAAGGAATATGCCGATGGGCAGCTTCCTACTTTAAGTCAGTATTCTCCTATCTATATGCCACACTCAATTGTTTTTGCCTGCTGATGGAATATAAGTATTGTCAGTATCGTCTAAATTTCAGAGCTGTGGAGCAAAGCTCTAGTAACCCCCTCCTAGGTATAGCTTTCATAATTGGGCACATAGTAGGATCCTGTGATGTGTAAGATGAAAATGTCTTAGGGCTTTGGAACTGGAGGAGGAAAGTAGAGCTCACAAATACTGAATGACTTGGCCAAAGTGAGGCAGCTTCCCTAGGGACAGAGTCGGGATTTGAACACAGGTCTCCTGGCTCTGAGTCTAGTGCACTCCCCACTAAATCGAGGACAGCAAAGGTCAGATTTTCCCTAGATTTTGTCAAATAGCTCCCTCCACTTTGTTCTGCCAGTAAAATAAAGTCCTTTTAAACCTCCAAACGATGACTGCTATTTTGTGTTGCTTCAGCTGTTTGATTACAGTCTCAAATTCCATAGAGTGACTGGACCAACCGTAAAGTCTAGTTTTGCCAGCTCAGGTTTCATTGGTGTATGGTGTGGGTGTGGGCCAGACCCACCGAAGGGTACTTTGAAGTCTCTGCACATGTGTTTTTTTCTTCTACTTTGGTTGTAAAACATTTTCCCAGCTTTGCTTTGGACTTTCCCCTTTCCTGTTTTGAAATGGCCTCATGGGCTTCAGCCAGTCGGTAAACAGCTCTTAGATTTTCTGCTTGACAACAGCTTGGGCTGGGAAGATTCAGGGTCTTCCTCTTCCCCCAAGGGACAGTTCCTTCAATTCTCCTTCCTTGGTGAGGCAAGCATTCAGTTATTTTCCACTGTTTTTGGTCTTCACTGTATCAGTCCCTAGCCAATGAGTGAAAGGAGGACTGGTTTTAGATGGGAAGGATCTAGGTTTGAGCCAGGCTCTGTTCCTTACTGCCAGGGTGATGTTGGGCATCTCTGGGCTCAACCTTTCTGTGCTTCAGTTTCCTCAGCTGTAAAATGACAGGGTTGGGCTAACTGTCCTTTTCAGTCCCTTTCTGTTCTAACTCTATGCTGCTGGACCCCCTGCCTCTGAGCCCTGGCTTCTTTTCTTTCAGTTAGCATGAGTCTCCTCT